GCTTTAGATATATGAACTTAGACCATGAATGAAAAAAAAATGGGGTGGCAAGTCTGATGTTTGACTGGTCTTCAAATCATCTGAAGATGAATATGAATGGAAAAAGTGTGGGAATGGGGTCAAGAGTGTGATTGTAGCAAACCATGCTAAACTGCTTTTGAAAGTTAGCTTGACACTTCAGTACATAACAGTCCCTTCTTTAATACAAAATTTGAGTAGTCTTACAAAGGGTTTGGCTTGAAATACATGTGTAACTACCTTTGTATGTTATGAGTAAGAGTGTTAGATCTACTGTAAGCAGATTACAAATTCATCCTGTTTTCTACAAAGATCCTGTTATCTACACTGACACTGGACTACTAGTATGTAGTCATGTACACACTACATCGGAGCATGTAATCATAGTGCTTCTTCTGCCTTCCAGACAGCTTTGAATTCCTTACATTATTTTTGCAGTTTGCTTCTCCCCACCCTTCTCTATATATAGGTCTGTGGTGTTGAACAATCCTACCTGAATTGACTAGCTGAATGACTTCCAGTGCAGTAGCTCTGGGGAGAATGTCTTTTAAAGACAGCTGTACATTGCAGTATGTTTTGGCAAGAATTTAGGTGCCTGTAAGCAGTTATGATTATGATGAAGTATTAATCTAAGGAGGTTTAAAGATGTGATAAGCTCCCAGTTTCTCAGTTTCTGCTTTAATTTGAAAAGTCCACCAGGAGATTGTAAACTACATGAGCTGTCAGTGGATTATCTCACCCAAGCAAAGCAATTTTTAGAATTCATAAAGTGTGTCTTGGAGGTACTGGTATGTGCAACATAATGGAACTTGCAGTTTTAATACAAATTCTATCAGCATCTTCCACAGTTGCATAAACTTAATTACAACTGAGTGTGTAACACCAGTGAATAACAAGTGTTAAATGACACGTGATCAATAATTCATTTGTTAGCAGAGTATTGCTTACTGTGAAATGACCTTGATGGAACAGTCTTGCAAGTAGCTTCCTTTCTTTTTGTGGTATTATTACCTGAAGAAAAATGAAAATTCTATTGATATAATTTTTGCTGATAGACAAAGCAGTTGCTTTTTTAATGAATGATGAAAATGTGAGCTGCAGGCTCCTTCTCTTCTATTGTATCCTATCACAGTTTCTAATTGCAGAATTGGTATGGGAACTGTTTTTAGGAACCAAGAATACTACTTGCCAGTAATAGGTCTCGGCGCTTGGGATTTTGCAATAAGTGGTCCTGCAGTGCTGAATTTAAAAGAACCAGGAAAACGCTCAGTTATCTTTCACTACTAACATACCAGCCCATTCATGTTGTATCATGTTATTGTCTTGTGATATTTCTGTCATTCGGTTTATGTGTTGTTGCTGGATAAATTGAAAACCACATGGCTGCCAGATCTCTTACTTTGTGGCAGCTGTCTATGTTTCCATATGAGAAACTGTGTATATAGCTGCTGCCTTCAAGGCTCATTAGCTAGTACTAGTCCATTTATGTCTCAGCATTGATCTCAGCAGGAACTACGTGAAAAAGTGTAAATTACAGGATACATTTTTGCCTGGATTTTCTTCTGAATCACTGGCCATGTTGGTGCTGCATTAAGGTGCTGGGCATGTATTACACAAGTGTATACTCTTATTTTCCTGACTTAATCACATGGAATCAAATTATTGAATAAAAACAGTGGCTTAGCAAAGACTTTTTTTAGTGTTTTCTGTTTAGTATTCCTTGATCAGCAAAACCTGCTGTTATTAGCATATGCCAGGTGTTGGAAAACTAATGGATTAATTGCATTCAGTCTGCAAACTTCTGCTACCACTGATGTGCTGCTTGCAGAGAGGAGTGTCTTGCACCTTACCTTGCATTTTCAGCATGCTTACCTATGGATAACTGGCACAAAGGTAGATAATTCGTTATCAGTCTTTAGTTTCTGCTAAGTTATTAGTACTGATTTTCCATATACTTCATTACATAACAGGGAAATACACTTGCATTTTGGGACAGGAACTTAAAAAGAGTGAAGCCTTTTTTAAAATCGCCGTGTTCCTGCTGGTGTCGCTGTTGGTCTGGCTAAAGCCTTTGCATTTGTCAGCCAGCTGTGTAGAACACAGACCTCTTTGTCTGAATGTCTTTTATGTTCCGGTACATCTGGGAATGCTGCTCCTGAGCTAGTAATTAAATACATTTTATTCTGCAAAAGCCTCCGTTGATTAGTGCAATTGCTATATAAAACATTAACTTCAAAACCCAAAGGATATAAATAATAGTGTTTCAGCTGGGTACTCCTTTCCAAGGAAGAACAAATGGTTTAATACATACTTTACCCAGTATGTTGCTGTTCTCCAGCATCACAGCTCTTTTCCTGAAGCCCGAGTTCAAGGTGGGCTAATAGGGAACAAACAGTGCAAGCTAGATCTTCGAACTTCAAGGAAAGGCACATCTTTGCATTAGCTGGCAATAGGTGGCAATTGTGTTTCACACTTCCCTGGCACTATCCTTACAGGTGTCCCAAACCTCCTCAGTTGTGATAGTCAACATCACCTGCTCGCATACTGGGGAGTGTTATAGAAATAATGGAATTACAGCATGAGAATTTAAAAATGGGAAATTGTGGAGGAACAGAGGATAAATATATCTTACTCCTAAGGATTTTATTTAGCTCCCAAACTGTTACTAAATGCTAATTGTTTCCTGTCTTTTATGGATTTTAAGAGGCTCCTCACTCACTGGCCTGTGATTTAGGCTGACTTATAATGATAAAAACCTCTCAGTCCAGTGTGACAGCTGCACTTGAAAAGTATCTAAAAAGTGTAGCATGTAACTTTTCTTTGAGTTGTATTTCTTCTAACTACAATTTGTACCACAATTGATGGTATGAAGACATTCATCAGAAGAAGTATTCAGAATTCTCATTGAACCCTGGAATAGAGACCTCCTTCTAGTTCATTTGCAACTGTATTCACTTACAACTGTATGTGCTTCTGGTTATATGTTTGAGAAATGGGGGATATCTATTTGCCATATAAAGAGTAAAGACATTCATCCTCCTCTCTATTTGACTCAGCACTTGATTTATGGTCTTGGTTTAAAGCAGAACAAATGGCAGAATAAAGTTCTGGTGATGTTTCATGATACAGTACAAGTCAAACTATCCTCCAAAGATTTGCTACTATATTAAGTCCTTGCAGGTTAAAAAACCAGTGTGAGGACTTCGGTTGAAAGAAAGGGTATTTAGGATCATAGACTGAAGGCAAAACAGACAGAAATTTAGGGTTTAAAAAAAAGGAATGAAGCACAAGGTAGGAAATCTGAAAATGGTAGGTCAAGCATTGCTGTTTCACAACCAGCTTGACCAACATGGGCTGCTGGCCCCCTGTTTTGCCTGTTCATTGCATTCCCATATTTTTTGTTTAGCTGTGTTACTGATTTATTTATTTATTTTTCCCCTACCAATTTAATGGAGAAATGACTCCCTGAAAAGTCTGAAGAAAGACACAGGCAGCATTGTAGAGAGACAGGACCAAGTACCGGATTTTTGGATGCTGGATATTACATGGGAAATGCTGGGGGAGGTCTGGCTATTGCAAATGGGAGGCGGGGCAGAGTGCACAAAATAGGATAAACTGAAAGAGCATGTTTTGAAATATATAAAAGGATAAGAGAATTACTGCATGAGGACAGCAGGGAAAGGAGACAGATGTAGTTTAAGCTAAAATGTAAGTTTACATTTATGGTAGATTTAAGCATAAACAGACTCACTGTGGGATAACATCATCCCAAACCTCCCAAATCTGTTCAGAATTCATTGATTACATCATGAATCTAATAGGCTGTCAAAACTATCGTGATTAAGGAAAAAACCCACTATCAACACAGGCACCTCAGAACAGAAGAAACATTCTTGTTTTGATGGTTGTGCTTCTCTTAATCTTTTCTTTGCTGTAAAAAATTATTCCAATGTCATTAAATGTGCTTTGTGAAAAAAAAACAAACCACCACACCAGTCCCTTTGGTCTGTATTTTTAAAAATCATCTCTGATCTTGCAAACCATGCATTTCAAATCTCTGTGAGATTTATGTCAGCTATTGTTTGTCTAAGTACTCCAGTTTGCATGCTGATCATATCATTTACTCTTCCGGGTGTTCACAGCCTTCTTCTTTCTGAACAACAAATTCACGGAAAGTTCACAGAAAGGCTAACCCTTCCTGGTACTGAGCCTGTTGTGCTGTTCCTACAGAAAATAGTAAATGTGAAGAATAGTTCACAATTTTTATGAGTTCTTCAAATCACAAATTTCCTGATTACTGTAAGTGAGAAGTTTGTCATTCCTTGGAGTGTTAGTTTGTTTCTTTGGGGCTTTTTTGAAGCTGGGATAAGACATTAATATTTTGGTGTCCACTGGTTTACAAAAAATAAGTTATTTGCTTGGCTTACAATGGCCTTCAGCTACTCAAAAAATGTATTTTTAATTTTGTATTTAAGTTGCTGAGAAAACTTATTCTGCAATGTGGATTAAAACGTGGAAATCACGGCCTTTCATTATTTCCCTATCAGAGATCAAACCAAGTTCTGTCATCACGAATTACAGCAGATATAACTCAAGTCAAAACAATGTTTTCTCCCTTAAACACCTACAGACTAACATAATATTCTCTCTAGCATGTCCATGACTTTGCATTCGTTTTAATTATCTGTTTCATCATTCTGTAGCTTTTCATTCTTCATCGCTGTAGGATTAGTCAACTTTTGTTATAGTTCAGTAAATGATCAGAGCAGATCAGAAAATATTTCTGCTCTTTCCTCATTATTCTGATTTAACATTGTTTCTGTCTGTATAATTCTATGTAATTACTCTAGATTGATATTTGCTGGGGGTAGAGAATCTGGATCTACCAGGCTGCATAATTAAGACTCAAGGTATTAATTTTTGCTTTCTTCCATGAGGGCAAGATGAATACAGTAAGTGCAGCTAATGCACAGAAATCAAGTTCTTCCTGATCTCTTCTCTGACCATTTCCTTCACAGCTCTTCCCCAGGAGAGAGCATGCAAGAAGCTCTATTTTTTTGCAATATGTTGTTCTGTAGTTCTACTTGTCCAAGAGATGAGAAAAGCTGTCTGCCCTTTCCTGGCCCACAGTGGAAGCCTGCACCCACCAGGTGCCCTCCCAATTTCTCGTCATCAGGGCCAGTTGCCTGGGGTCAGAGGTACCAAATAAAGGCCTCACACTGTGTCAGTCACAAACATGTCAGACTGACTGCGAGAGCAATGCCTGAGCATCTTGGACTGAGAGAGGTCTGCTCCTGTCTACAAGATTTCCAGAGGAATTATTGCAGTGACTGCAAGGTAAAAACATAGAGATTTCAATACAAAGACATCTTCCTTCATACAGCTGTGGCCAGAGCACTGTAAAGCAGGATTTTACCTTGGGCATTGAATTAGAGGCTGAACAGGTTCTTGGTTAAACTGTTGCCTCATCCAGTTCTTTCCCACACAGGACATGTGCTGCTCTCTGAGACAATGCTATTCCACCTGTGGCCCACTGCAAAGTCTCTATCATTAGCTGTCCAAAAACATTTGGCTGCCTGATTCAGTAAGTTTTCTCTGAATCAGGATACAGAACCTCACAAAACCTAGTTATAACTGTTTTCTTTTATGTCCAGCAGTATATATCCAACCTCAGTTTTAAATACAGGCAAGGGCTGCCAAAAGGGAATTAGAAACCCAAAGCAGCATCTTCCACATCTACCCGTAGCAGATGAATGTGCTATTACCCCAGACACTCATCATTTCCAGTTCCTCATTCCTCTGCCAAACTGATTACCCAGATGCTCTAATCTATTTAGCAAAGCTGATGCAGCAGAGGTGATGCAACATACCTTTGCACTCTGGACTTTTGCACAAAATAACCCCAGCTGGTTTTCCTGGAAGCATGTTAGGTATACTGCACCACAGGCCCACTGGTGGGGAGGGGAAGCAGCAGCACATGATCAGGAAGGTGGTGAAGGTAGGGTGGCAGTAATGCTGGTCTTTAAGGAGGGCAACTGATGGCAGTTTAGACAACAACCACAGCTGACTTCATTTAAATGCTTAATGGCAGAGGAGATGGAAATGTCCAAGGATCTGAAGTGAGCTGGGAAGATGAACGACTAAATCCTCAAGGATCAGGCAATGCGGGTTTCTTTACAATAATTTTTAATCTCAGGAAAGACAATAGCCACTCAACCTTATGAGTGGTGAAATAAAAAAAATATATCATTATTGTTAGTAATAATAATGATGATGAAGATGATGATGTAGTTGGTCACAAGTGTTTTGTGAGAGATTGCTCACTGCAAGTACTACAGAGGCGATGGAAACACAGGTAGTGTAGGTTACCAAAAAACTGCTCTCCCATGGCCCAAGATACCTGCTATTGTCAGTAATATGCCAGGTGAAGAACTCACTCGTCAACCAGCCCCAGGAGAGAAACTGATCAGTTGCTCATGACTTAAGAGCAGTAAGAAGAATCACTGATCCTCAGCAGAGTTATGAGAGGATATTTTTGTGTGTTTGACTCACTCACACTTCCTGAACTGTGCCCTCACTAGGCCAACTACATATTGGTAGGACAATTACTGACTTCTTCTTCCTTAATAAACCTATATTGAAAGTAGCAGCTTGGCAGACATTTACACAGTGCAGATTCTCCGTTGTCAATCATTTGCATTGCTGCCAAAAGCCCATCAGTGCCCTCAACAAGAAGTCATTGTTTGCTCAGACCTCTGACTAACCCACTGCAGCAATTCACACTGTATAACAATGCTTCGTATAACACAATTGCATTATCGTATGTGTTATGCAATTGTATGTGATGCAAAGCAGTGGGAAAATGTCCTGGACTTCCAAATAAAAACCAACAATACAGAGACTTTTGTCCTTTGAACAACTTCTTATTCATAACATAATTTAGGCTGTTAATACTCTCTTTTTGATGGGGCAGATTTTCAACCGACTTTCTTAATAAGATTGGCAAAAATTATTCTAGACTGATGAGAGATATGAGGACAAATACGTTGGAGAAAACATCAAGACTTCCTTTCAGTGCATAGAACATCTATCTGTGTTTAATTTGCTTGAATGGTTCATCCCCATTACTCTGCAAAGATGACAAACTTTTGCAGCACTCAAAGCTACATTTTTCTTCCCTCCAAGATTGGTAACAATGCTGCAGTTTCCTGTCATGAGGTTGCAGTTGTTTGTGTGCAAGCTTACTTGCTTATAAAGTTTTTTGTGTCTAGACCAATACAGGAAGGAATAGTTCTCTCCTCCAGGGTCTTCCACACTCCTTAGGACCAGTTTTTGATGAGAATCCACTAGAAGGGATTCTCTTGTCCAGCAGCAGTGGCATGTAGCTTTAAGTGGTGGGTGTCACCAGGAGAACTAACAGATACCAAAGTGGCAAAGTGGCTGAAGATTCAAAATTTTGGCAGTGAAGGTACATTATGGAAGGTCTTTGCCTGCCAGTGACAGAAACAGAACTCTGCACAGGACACTTCCTCAGGCAGAGCAAGGAATAGATGATTGGGGAAATCCTGTACTGCTTCGAGCTTTCCAAGTCCAGGCTCCCAAGTACCCTTTAGGATGGCCTGGGACACCACACTACAATAATTTAGTGGCTAAAATAGCATAACTGTTACATACTCACTCAGCTACGCTTGGGGTCATTGTAATAACTTTTGAGTTGATGGAAAAACTGTCGGAGAAAAAAAATCTTTTATGATTCAGACATTAATTTCTCTGTTTTTTCAATGGGATTTGAGTATATCTGTTTTTGCATACACTCTTGCACATTGCAAAAGAAAGAACGGATCAACTCAGACTAGAATAAATATCCAAACTCTGGAAATCAACATAGCTTAAGCACCTCTCACTCTGAGAGCTGGAAAAAACCCCAAAAAATGGAAAGCAACAAAAAAAGTTAGGTTTCAGAAAGGCAGAAAAGAAAATCCCAAACCTTGAGAAGAACTCTAAATAGCACAATGTATAGTTGTTACTGCGCATCTCCAAAACAAAAGGAATGACATTTTTTAAAAAATTGCAGAACCATAAATAGAATTTCTAGTATTAAAGGGCTTATTCTAAGCATTAAAGTAGACATGGGATATAATGGCTCTGATTCTTACAGCAGATCAGAACCAATTAATGAAAGAGAGGTGAATAGAAATACTGGTAAGCAGAGAAAGTAAGAGATGGAGGAGATGATTATTTCTGTTTAGTGTTGGTGTCTGGAGACTAATTTCACTACTTAAAAAGAAGATAAATTCCAACAAAGTGTGCCAGCATACAACCTTGATTTGCAGGAGAGTAAAGAATATTGCACATAGCATGGAGTCCGTCTTATCCTGAGGCATACTTGCTGTGACAGATGTGCTTCCAACTTTACCATTAAAAGTTGTCACAGCTTTAAAAGAAGGTCTGATTTCCTCTGGTTGGAAGTAGTAGTACAGGTTTGATTGAATTAGGTAACTCTAACTGCTTCGGTAGGGAATACAAACAAACAAAAAAAAAGAGTAGTTTTCTCTGGTGCTCACAGTTCAAATACAACCAGAGTTGTGCAGAAGTCGAACTTACTGCTGCTGACGCATTTGCTCCATCTCACTTATCTGTGCCCGTGGCTCCATGGGGAAGCACAGAGGTAGGAATACAGGGCAGTTGTACAGAGAAATTGCCTCAGAATATTCTTACAGTTTCCATTTTTGCTTCACTTTACATGGAATACAATTACATAGAAAGCAACAGAGGGAAAAAAAAGTAGTAATGTCAGCAAAAGTCCTAAAACATTATTTCAGGCATTGCTCAACAGGCCTGCATTTGATACTGGGCTGTCTTACAGATTCTTATCAATATCTCTGGTGGAAAACTATTTTTGGATCAGTTATCCAAAAGCAGATCAGCTTTTGGATCCAGCATACATCTGGTAGAACAAGATGGGAAATGGAAGCAGAGGATGGTCTATAAGCAGAAGGAGGGAGTAACTAAGTACTGGAGGTCTCAATATCCAACTCTAAGCACTCTTATTTCTTTAATCCTAAACCTAATCCAAATCTTGTGCTTTCGTTAGTTCAAGTTTTTGTGGTAGGAGTTACTGTGATGGTCAAAGACTGATTTCAGAACCAGAAATGTATGAAGGGACTTGGAAGAGAAGGGTGGTTGATGTGTTCCTACAATCAAGAAGTTTGTCTTTCACTCAGCAACATTCTTCCTTGTAGCTGTTACTGTTGATCAGGGTCTTTACAAGTGTAAACATTTCCAAATCAGCTAATGTAGATTAATTATATTGTTTTTTCATGTGTGCTGTTAGTGACATCACTTAGAACAGTTTCTGGGAAAAACACAGAAGGACATCTCTTCATGCTACTATCACAAGTCAGGGTCAAGGCATTTATTTTTCATGATTCATTTGTGAGAGAAGGTTCATAGTTCATGACATACATCATGGAAACAGCTGTTAGTACAAGCTGACTTTCTTCCCACATTGCCCCTGCTCCAGAAGGTGCCCATGTGTGCACATTGCCACGACAACAAGCTCTAAGTGTGGGAAGGATTCAGAGCTGTATTTTGCCCTTCGTGCCAGGTTCAGCATATAAGGTCATAATTAAGTTACTCATTACCTTTTCTTCTTGAAGGGAGCTCTTATCCATCTATGTGAATACAGTGTGAAGAGCTGGTTTTTAATTTTGTACTTGACAGCACATTGGAATGATTTTCCTTTAATTTCCTGCTAAGCACAGCTAAAATGCCTAGTCAGTGGAAAATTACCTTATCAATACCATTATGTGAGAACAGCAGTTGAAGAGGCCTTTATTGTACAGTCCAAACTACCTGCATTGCCAAAGATTAATAAATCCTTGTTATGAAGCTTAATGTAGAATGTCACGCCTCCATAACAGGATGCAGCTACTACATCATCATAACATGAGGTTGCTGTTGTTTATGTAAAGACTGGAAAAGATACCTTTTCAACTCTAAGAACATAATGAACTTCTAAGCAGTTTCCCAATGAACTCAGTACAGAAACTGGTAAGGTAAGAAGGGCCACATAGACAATGCAATGCATTGGCATGGGCTCTACACACAGTGAACGAAAGGAAAAAAAAACAATGGGGGGAAGAGCTATCTAGACTGAATTCACAGAGGCTGGCAGCTAGAGAGTCTACTCAGTATGAAATGTACATGGGCAATAATTTCTCAGACAATTCTCTTCAAGAGCTAATTTCCATGTTTTTTGGTACAGTTTATTTAGTGAACAGACATCCAACTCAGGGAAGTTACCCCTTACACCTCCAGTTACACTCTTGGACCTTGGAGGAGAGGGAAGATTTTTTTGGCACAAATACTGCCCATTGTGGGGAAAACAGGTAAAGTGATTCATGCAAAGCATTTGTAACTTAATGGGGGGTATCTGGAATATTCTTATACTTCTGTATTTGAAACACAATCTTGGCAAAGGCTTTTCTGACATATCTTGAATTCCAGCTCAAAGTATGCTTGGTAAAATGCTGCAGTCTAACCCCTTGTTCATAAATCACTATATGAAACCAGGTGCAGAACCCTGCTGGTATCATCTCAGAGCATATTTCTCATCAGTTATTTCTGGGGATCATCCCCTTTGAGGGTCCTACCAATAGCAGCTGTAGTCAAGGTTTCCTAAGCATAGGATACAGGCCTCATCACCAAATAATCTTAAACTTAATCTGAGAAGGTACAGCCTTGCTGAGTATTTTGACTAAATGGAAACTTGAGGTTCAGTAGCTGCCACCAGGAAGAAAATAGAAGGTCAGAAAAAAACCACTATGTAAGTATCAGAGAAATGCCTGTATTTTGGACAGGAGTAGTGACAGGCATCATAACACTGCATGAAGCTCAAGGAATAAACTCTCCTAAGTGCTGTGGACTTAGCACATATTATACATTGTTTTATTGTATGCATTTGACTAATTTTTTTGTTATGATACAGATGGCTACTGATAAACAGGGAGTAGCAACTTAAGGGTCGATTAAGTGAAATTTACTGGCATATATTTTATTTTGGCTTTTCAGTGAACAATAGGATATCAAGAGGCTCTACAACTATGAAGTGGTATTACAATGGTTTTAAAAACCAAGAAAGCCAAAAAACCCCCCATCCCTTTTGTAAAGTCTCATTACAAGCAACCATGTTTAGTAGAAAGCTTCACTGAGTTCAAACCACAAACCTAGAAGTGTCAAATGAGATTAGTCAATTTTCTCTCCTGAGCAAATTTGCCTGCCAGGCTCAGATAGTCTCACCAGGCAAACTGAAAGCAGGTGCTGGTAAAATGCTTTCAAACGACATTATTCCTCTGCTGTTTATAGAAGCACTCAGAGGCACTGAGCACAAAAGGAACTGTTTGCTCATTTAATGTTTGCTCAGTTTTCTGTCTAAATAGCCAGCTTTTTCATGGTCATTACTGCGTATCACACCTGCTCTGTAAATGCAAAATCTCCTCTGTACTTGGGAGTAACACCTCATGAGCACTTGCAGCTGAACCAGCTGAGCAATAGCCTGCCAAGGCCTGGGTGGCACCAACCTGTAGATTTATTTAGCATTTGTCAGCTGACTTTTAGGTGGAAACATGGAAACAAAAGTGCTGTTGTAGCAGGAAGCAGAAAGCATTACTACACACCTGTTTGAAGGTTCCCATGAAAGCAGTTAATAGTTTTAAATATGCCCACACAAAAAACACACAAAAAACTGTCTTTCCTGCAAATGCTAATGGGACTTATTACCTCTAGTGTTCTGCTGAGGGGGAGGCTTCATAATACTTCTCCCTTAGAGTGCTACCTGCACCCTTCACACCAACAGTATCCTGAACCTGATGAACATGTCTGGCACATGATGTGGCAGAAAACTAATTCAACAACCCCTCAACCCAGCGAGCCTCTCCAAATGCACATTACTTTTTTTGTCTCGTTTCTGCTATCTGGTGAAAAACGCACAGGCAAGTAGCAACCATGAATCTGGAAGAGCGGAGAAATGGAAAGGAGGACTCTTCTTCTGTTGAGAGCACCCTGAAGATAAGGGGAATTCCAAAAGATCAAAAAGTCATGCCTATAATAAACTTTCATGTTCTTTTCTCCCTTCCCCTCTAGGCAGCAGCTATCAGCTATTTGGTATGTTCATACCAGTAAAGTGGAGAAAAACATTTTAAATTAGTCTCAGCAGGCCAGGAATTTCTTTCAAAGTCCACTTGCCAAGACAAGTCACACTCTATGTGACTTGTCTGGCACTTCTCTATGGCTCCTGATGACAAGTACTAAAGTGTCTTTGGATTTTCCTCAAAATTGCTCTCTAAGAAAGAAAATCAAGCAGTTTTTGCTTTGCCTCTTCTCCCTGACAAGATGCGTTCTCATGAACTGAAGAAGGTTGGTCTACGACTGTTTATAAAAAAATATTGAGTCACCAGCTACAAACAGAGAAAACATTAGTGATGTGCCCCTCTTGCCTTTCATCTACAATTCAAAGTATCTGCTGTTGGGTCCTTCATGGCTGGTGGAACTCAGCTGTTTTTCTAGCCTCTATGTTGTGAAGCACAACAGACAGATAAAATTGGAAAAACAAACGTGGAAGAATTATTTTGTAGTCTAGGCAGCAAATTATGAATGGCCATTATTAGGAGTGGGTGTTAAGTATTTTGTGTGGATTTTTGACTTCCCTGAAGTCACACATCTTTCCTATTTCTGCAACCTTGCACTTATACCAAAATGCAGAAGCTCTCCTCCTAGCCTTTGTGAGCACCACCTACTGCAGATGCTGTGAGAAGTCCCCCTACTCTTTAACAGACTCCCAGCCTCACAGGAAGCAGCTTTTCCTTACTTATCGCTGCTGTTGGTACTTTCCTCTCCAATATGCCTGGAGCAACCCCCCCTCCTCTCTAGTCGTAAAATTGAATCACAGGATTTAAATCACTCCACTTGCTTGTAAACTTTGTCTATATGGGGTCTCCGTTTGAAGTACCACAGTACTACTCACTGCCCAGCTGCACACCGACACCTGAAAAGTGTGACATTCTCAAGGACACCCCTCTCCACCCTCCAGCAAAAGGAGAGGTGAGGGTAGCAACAGAAGGGCAAGAAGTGGCCAAACTGAATTGCATCAGTGAGCTCACGTGACCAACGAGTCACAAGACAATTCTTTCTCTGGAGCTTAGTTTGTTTTCCTCCCTTTGAATGACACCCTTACACCTTTGTCCAGACTCACCTCCCTTGGCACTCTGCTGCAACAGGCTAAAGGGCACACCTCCACCTCTGATTACTCATTCACTCCAGTAATTATTTTGTTCACTTATGGCTAATGATAAGGGGTTAGCCTGCCTGATTTACATAGGCACATGCCAAATATCATATCTCTCCTTGTTCTGCTATAGCAAGGCACAGAGTTCCCAATGTAATGGAGTAACTGGCTAACTTAGTTCAGCTGCTGGATGTAATCCAGTTTTCTTATAGTTCCTTCAATAAAGGTGACTTGTGGCATCAGTTTTTCAACCACAGAGCTACATACTACTATTACTGGTACAGAATTCAAGGGAGGGAAATAGAGAAGGTAGAGAGTGAGGTCAGAGTCCAAAACATTACATAAGCCATGTAACTGTAGAAGAGAGTAGGGAAAAGGATAGAAAAAAGAAGGGAAAAAACCCTCAACCTATTTCCACAGTTTTCTTGTGAAACAGAGTTTTCTAATAAAGTCAAGAGAGCTGAGGAAGCAAAGGCAGAGGCTTCAGCAGGGAGAACAGTCAAATCTCATAGATTGCTTTCATGCTGTGCTCTGGTGGAATCTTGAGCCAGGCAGCCACGTTAGAGCACACAGGGCTCCCTAAGCTGCCTAAGCATTCCAATACTCTTCCAATATCCTTCAAGTAGGAAGCTTGAGGACACTGAGAAAGTTATTAAAATTTCCTCAAAACTCCAGGGGCCAAATTTGCTTGTATTGTTCTTATTGCGGTCTGGGAAGAACTCATGCACAACTGAGTAAGAGCAAGGACAGCAGGAGGATGCAGTTCCTAAGGCTTTCTGTTGCATGCTGGGTTTTGCACAAACTTTGTACTCTGAAGTATAAGCTTCATAATTATCACCTTTGACTAAAACTGATGGATGGAATTGGGTTCTTTCAAATTACAGACGAGTCGCTTGCTTTAAAAAAGTTTATTTAAACATAGTAGGTACATTTCACAGAAATGGTTATAAAATGCATAGCATATTACAAACAATACTGTTACTTTACAGATAGTAGTTTTTATTATCCTAAATATTGCTTTTTAAAAACTAATGAGCCTGCTTGGTGAATCAGAAAGCTAAAAATCCCCATCATAGGCACTCTGATAAAAATAGTATGTGATAAAACAAAGCAGGCGTCCACTTTTTCATTCACTGTACTGATTGTTTATATTGCTGCACCATTAATTTGCCAGTCCCTATTATGTGGAAATATCTAGTCCCTGGAGTCATATACCAAGGTTAGATTTCCCCTAACTGGAGTACAAATTGCACTCGCTCAGCCAACCAAAACCCCATTCAACTCCAAGGAAAGCTGACTGAGGGTCTTCACACTGATTAACGTAAAGGACAGAGAGCATATGAGTGGACAAAAAAAACCAAGCAGCTTTTCTAAATTGTGCAGGTGTGTCACACCCATACTGCTATTCATAAACAACCAGATTTTAAGTTGGCAAGTCCATACAGATTTCAAGCTTTACTCTAGTAGAAACTGAATGCTCGGTAGAAACAGTCCTTACCCTCAGTGGTGATACAATGTCACAGAAGGTGGAATTGAGCCTTTTTACAGCACCTGAGAACTGACAACACCTCAAACATTCATCACTTTGCACACCCAAATTGCAGAGGCATCTGTTTTCTGATCTTTGGGATGTCAGGGCGCAAAGAAGTAAGTAAAAATGAAGAGCACAGCACCGATCTATAACCAAAGCTGAAACAGACACCTGCTCATTCACACAGCACTTCAGCACGAGTCATGAATGAAATTCTTCACATTTACATTTGTATGACAATAGGCATAAAGCAAATGTTGAGGTAAAAGGATATGGACCAGGTTTGCACTGGTGTAAGCAAGTCTAGAATCAAGCACGCTATAAAGTCCATTAATTCACACACAAAAGAGAAAGAAAAAATCCCCATTTTTTAAAACACATAGATACATGTAGATCAAACCATGTATGTTTTCAAAACATATGGATATATGTTCAAGAATAAACTGACTTTTTGCATTATGACATGAGCTTTACAGTAGTTTAAGCTTGGCTGGGACTGAAAATAAAGAAGCTTGAACTCCGGCCAGCAGAGCTCCTTTGGAACTGTTTGTCAAGACAGAAGAACGAGGTTTGAAGCAGTCCGAGAACACTGATGTTTCATTCACCATCTTCAAGCAGTTTCTGTAAGT